CCTCTGCCTGATGGGGCTGCTCTGGTGGGGCCTGTCCTGTGGCGACTTTGTGTCCAGGCCTTTGCTTCTTTGCCGTATGGATGGAGCATGGTGTGGACTTTGGCCTTTGAATTTTACTCCTTTAGCGCACTTAAGGGTTATTCTTTCCCCTGCCCCCTCTTCCTGAGTAAAAGATGTTTTCTCCATTATGCTCCCATTCTCTGCTTCCGGCCCTGCTCTCACCGTAGCAGAACTCCAGGCACCTGGGGCTTGCTTCTTACCTCTCACTGAAACAAATTAAACACTGCCGGTTAGTGCAGCAGATGGGGGTGGCTAATTAAGACTGTGACACCCTGAGGCCACAGTATTGATGTTTAATAGTTTGTAGTAATGGGAAGCACACAAGTATTCTTAGTTATCAGCTCATTAAATGTCAAAATGAATGTAGTAGCTAAAACTTGGCGCTGTTTCCTGAAGACCAGCTTCTGAGCTGCCTTATCTGTCTTCTTTTAGAGTGGACACTGTTCCTAAGTCCACCTAGTCATGCCAAGTGTGGACACTGCTCCTAAGTCACCTAGTCATGCCAAGTCAGGTCTTTTGGACTCACTATTATATAGGACCCGGCTGCTTGTTCATGCATTCAGGCGGAAAATGGACTGCGTCAGGTCCAGCACTGTGGGGCCAGCATTTGAGGGGGGCTGGTTGTCTTGGCTGCTGTTTCATCAGTGACCCCCCATCCCAGCTCAGTCAGAACACATGTGAGAGATGGAGTCCCTGGGCCGCTTGGTTCCCACCTGACCGTCATTAGGACATGTTCCACGGTGTGTTGGTTAATGCCACCTTGCTCTGGACATTAAAATATTTCCAGCTTTCTGAAGGTTCCTTCATTGATTTGAAGATAGTCTTGTTTATGTCTTACTGTAGGCTGGCTTCCAGTGGCTGCGATCAGGGGGGTGCTGTGATCAGTTTTTTTCAGGATGCTTTTTTTCCAGAATGGCACTTGATGTTTTGGAGCTGGGTTGGAGCTGTTGCTCTGGGAAGCTGGTGCTTTCCTGTGGGCCAGGTCTCCAAGGACCCCTCAGACAGACTTCTTTGCTGCCTATCTGCATCTCTGCTTTTTTGCACAACTCTGATCTTGTTTATTAGAATATGAAGTTTCTCAGAAATGGTCACACGGCCACTTCTGAGTATGAAATAACCTTTTCATTACGTGTCAGATGCTGCACTATTAAGGACCTTGATATATGACACCTCACAAATCCTTACACCAATCTTTGCAGGACATTATATTCAAGTACTTTATAGATAGCTCAAGGAAATGAGGTTCAGAAAAGTTTAGAAATTTGCTCAAGGCCACATCCAGTTGGAAAGTAGGGGATTTGAACACACATCTATACAACTTCTCTTCCACCTCAGATGAGCCCCAAGCTTGCTCATGGAAGCCTGTATCCAGGATGATAAATCTCATGCATCATCTCTGGTGGATCAGTGCCCTGGGGCTGCCAGAGGCTGGTGAGGGAGAGAGTCCAGTGACAAGTTACTGGTCTGCCCTGGGTATGGGAGTGGGACAATGGAACGTGTGTTATTATGTATGTGACATCGAGAACCATTTCATCATACTGCAGCTGACACGATCTATGAGTGCATCAGTTTTTAATTGATGCTCTAACAACTTACACAAACTTAGTGTCTTTTTATTTTCTGGGTTAAAAAAAAAAATTGTATTTTACATCATTGTTCTTCTTCTTCTTTTTTTTTTTTTTTTGACAATATCTGCCTTCTTTTCTCCAGTGTAGTCCCAAAGAATTTCCACCACCAATTCACCATTTCAGCCATGCACCATCACCATAGTCCCTTATGTTCTTCCTGCCCTCACACAAACTTAGTGTCTTAAAACAGTATGTGTTTGTAATCTTGAAGTCAGAATTCCAGAAATAGTCCTTCAGCTAAAATCAAGATTTGGCAAAGGCTGGCCCCTTTTGGAGGCTCTGGGGTGGAGGGTTGAGGGGGAGAGAATCCATTCTTTGCCTTTCAGCATCTAAAGGCCATCTGTATTTCTTGACTCTTTAGCTCCTCCTTCCTCTACCTTCAAAACCAGTAGCATAGATCAATTAAAGCAATGTCTGTGTCTTTCTCTGTGTCCTGCTGCAATTGTCACATCCCCTCTTAACACCGACCTTCCTGTCCTTCTAAAGACCCTGTGATTACCTTGGGCTACCCAGATAATTCAGAATACTCATCTCAGAATTCTTAAAACTTCACATCTGCATGGCTCCTTTTGCTCTACAAGGTCATGCATTTACAGGGGTAATGATGTGGCCATGTTTGGGAGGAGAGGGGACAAGATTACTCTACTACACAGTATAAAGGAAACAGTACTCTGTGAGCTGCCCTGGGCACACCATGGTCTGGAGGATTCTGAGAGTTCTTGGCTAACGCTTTACTTAGTGTGCGCTGAGGACAGCCCAGTGGGCCAGCTGTGTGATGCTGGTGCTGTGGAGCTGGGTTTTCACTACCTCTAGGAGTGAAGGTGTTTATAGTGCACACAAGAGATGGTCCTGGGATGGTGTCTTTCACTTCCAAGCCCTATAGTCAGGCATGGATGGCCACAGATTCTTGGAGCTAGATTTTCTGTGGAATTAGAAATTCCCATTTTGCATCTATGTCAGCAGAAGTAAGGATTAATTAGAGGGGCTTAGGGTCTTGCATACAGGAGATTGCACATCTCACTGCCTTGGCTTCCTTTACACAATGTGTTGTGAATGCCTGACAAATATCTGTTAAAAAAAAAAACCAGACACACACATTGCAGTAGAAATGTAAGAGAAAATAAGAACAAAACAAAAGTTGTTGAAGTCCTGCAAGTACAGCTGCAAGTATGCAGTTGGCCCGGGATCCGAACATGCCTCAGAATGTTTCCTTTTTAGAAAGTGCTTCCTTTTTATGGCTTCACAGTGTTTTCCTCAAGTCCCCTTCTAAGAGGAGAATCATGAGGAAGAACCTTTTTTTAAGCAGTTGAGACTTGGTTTGCCTTTGTTTACCAGCTGGAGAACAGAGGAGGAAGGTCTGCTTCTTTGCCTCTAGATTGCATCTTTCTTTCCCTCATGACACCCCCCTTTCCTTTCCTCTCCACTACGCAAATTTTCCTTCCCTCTTTTAAGCTCCTGACATGTGTTGCCCTGCCCTTGCTTCACCCCTCCTGAGGTGCGGCATTCTTACTTAAGGCTTTAACCCTGCCTACATAGCCTTTTCCTGGCCATCTACACTGAAGGTTCCTGGAGGCCAGTTGTGATTTGAGATTGGTCTATAGGCCCAGGATGTGATCCTTCTCACCAGTTCCTAGTCACTGAAAGAAAACTCATGCTGCTTCCTGCCTCAGCGCAAGGAGAAATGCTGTTTTCTTCATCTACTCATCACTGTTACTGGTGTAACATCTGGCTCATAATAGAGGTTGAGTTGTTATGTCTTGGGGGCTCGTGGGGGGGTGGTGGTGGAGGCAGTGTGCTGCCCAGCTGGTTTGTAGGGGCGTCGCCCTGTCTCCTTGGTCTCATGTCCACTTGTGTTGTTATGGTCTCGGGCATCCTCTAGTTGCAGATTGTGGCCTCATCCCTAAGGATTGAAGAAGCACTGATTTAATAATGCAGTGACACTCTGGGGTCTTGTGTTTGTGGGAAAGGGAGACTGAAAGGAGGAAAGCTGGAGCAGGATGAACTGGGAACAAGGGGAGCCCAGTAGATCATGGATAGTGCACCATATTGATTTTGATGTTCTGTTACTGCTCCTTCTTCACTTTAATTAGAATGGTGTGTGTGTGTGTGTGTGTGTGTGTGTGTGTGTATACACTTTTCTGCACAGCTGTGCTTTCCCAAGGTCTGTGTTTATCTGAGCTCAAGGATCCAGTTTCAGTGGGCGTGCCTGGCTTCAGGATAAGCAGTGTGAACATGCCTGTAGCATATGGATATGCTGGCTCTGGGGCCGGAGACAGTGGCCCCCTCTGGAGTGTTCTGCAACATCGTGTCTCAGTGTAACAATTACCCATTAAATACTAGGCCTCCAGCATATGGTTTTCCCCACATCCCTCTCCTTGAGTGGAAACTTCAGCTGTGTGGTTAGAATATTTTCCCACCATTTAGCATTTCAGAATTGACATATTTTTGAGCATTCTGCAATTAATACTAACTGGCACATTTGTAGATTATTACAGAAACAGTTAAGTAAGAGTGGGTAGATCTGTAGCATTTCTTTCCCATGATGGATAAGTAGTGGGTTAGGAAAAGGTTGGTCAGTGGGAGGATTCTGGGGCTCCCTTTGTGGATGCTGTAATTAAAGTGGGAAGTCTGGTGGAGTTGTTCTCCCTGCTATTAACAGTGCAGATGGCTAAAGGCCACATCACCAAGACTTAAGAGTTAGACTTTTTAAAGTCTTTTTTCTCTGTCTTTTATGACCCACCCTATATATTCCAAGCCTAGGTATGGATGCAGTGAGGAATTTTCTCATTAAAAGTAACAGCTTATTCCCACAGTCATTCCTGGTCTTGGAAGGAGAAACCTGTTTCCTTAGACTTGAGGAATTGCCTATCTGTTGTGGCTTAATAGTGCTTTTGGACGAGAGTGTCTGGTAGGCGAGTTTTATAACCAATCAGTCCTCAAAGCGGATCCAACTGGAAGTGCTCCAGCTGGCAGCTGTGGTCTCTCTCCCAATTTTACTGTTAATGAATTATTATTTAACCCCCAAACACAGAACAGCCTGCTTCTATTGTCTTAAAGGAAGTGAGTACTCATGATTCCCATGGCCTGGCAGTTAGGAATCTCCTGGGCTGGAGGGAGTTTGGCAGCAGAGGGGAGGTGGGTGTCGGGGTGGTGTGTGAGGACAGAGGGGTGTGGAGAGAGTAGTAGATGTTGCTCAGTGACTGGCATGACCCTAGATCTCTGCAGTCATGTGTGTATTTTGACTCCTTGGGGATGTGTGCTGGAAAAGCAAATTGGCTTCACTCCTCATCATGTTCTCTTGTTTTCTCATAGGGAGTGGGTTCGGCCAGCAGAAACAGCGGGCTGCACAACATCACCTTCAGATATGACAGTAAGTAACTGGCCTGACCGTCAAAGAATGGAGCCTTTTAGTGGTTCAGAACTTAAAACAGTCATGTATAGTCAGGGCCACTTCAGGTCCTGGAGTTGAGGAACTTTCTGAACCTCCTCAGTTTTGTCAACAGAGCTAAAGTGGCTTAATCTCAACTCAGCCGCTCATGTGTGGACAGGGAGTATGAAACAGGTCAAATGTCCTCCATAGTATTCAGAGATGTTCTGTGTGGAGCTCTCCCTTGATTTCCTCAGCACCTAGTCATGTCCTTAAGAACAAATGCAGATGTCCATAGAGCCTAGAGGTGAACAGATCAGTAAAGCTACCCAAGTGTAGCTGTGGGGCTCTATGGAGTGGCGGGGACTGGGGCACACTGGAGAGCCTATGTCTGCTCTTAAGGAAACACTGGCTTCCTGTTCTAGCTCATTGTGGTTTTAAGGAGTTCCCTGAGTATAGCCAGATGTGATTTCCAAGAAAGTAGGTAATTTGCATTTTTTAATACTGGCATTTAGTTTCAAGTTTTCAGGCACACAGAGTAGGCCAAGTGATTTTGTGTCCCAAATTGGCCTAAAGGTCTCCTGTTAGCTATCCAGCCCCAAGCCCTCTGCATGGCAGAGGACTTAATTTTTCCCAGTGTCAGTTTTCTCATTATAAAAATAAAGATCAGCTTTTCTCAGAATCATTTTGAGATTTAAGTGAGGTAATGGTTATAACTGCGCAACGTGATGGCCTTGTTTGTGGTGTGCATTCACTAATTGATATGTGTTAGCATCAAAAGTCATTTCAACTACAGTTGAAATACAAGTACCTTTTTGGCCTTTTCTCTCAAGGAGGTGTGACTTCTGGCTAAACTGTGTTCACTTGAGCCTTACGAGCTAGATTTTGGAAGTAAAAATGTTGATAAGAGGAAGTGGGACAGAGAGTGACTACTGACATTTAATTCATCTTCTGTAAGTCTCGTCGAGGTCTCTGGAATAGTGACCACTACTGAAGCAGGGTATTTGAGGTTATGTGTACAATCTGTGAATTTTGAGATACAAGTATGTGTGTTGGATTCATAGTTGGGTATTTCAGGTTAACCAGGGAGGACTTACATGTCACACTCAGACATTTCATTAGTGGTCTGTGCATGTTCTGGCTAAATGCAGTGATGCTAATGAATGATTTGCAGGTCCATGATACTTGGTTCAGCTAAGTAGAGACATGTGTAAGGGATCTTTATTTGAGTTAGAAAGTTAACTTCTAAAATGCGCTCTTGGTCCTGGCAGATCTTATATTACTTCCAAGAGTTCAGAATTTTCCAGTCAGCTGCAAACAAGTATTTGCATCTTTAACTTAATATGGGGTTTTCTGAAAGGGAAATCTATACCTGTAAAACTTAAAAATATCTTGTTGTTTTCTTCATGGGACTAAGTATTTGGCTCACATGTTGATTCCCGTTATTTTCTTTCTACTTCAACATTTAATTAGAATTTAATTCACAGCTCACATTGACTCCTGAGACATCTGAAGCTCAGTTGCATTTTGGCAAAATGTCATTTGGGCGTAATTTTTTTGTAACCAGAATCCAAAACTTTTAGAGTTGCTAATAATTGGATCCAGGCTGTGTAAAAACTTATTCATTGTTTTCCATTGAAAAAAGATATTTTTCTCTTCCACATGGAACTTCCTGTTACTGCTCAGTTGATTAGTTGCTAGGCCTATTAGAAATAGCTAACAACCAATTACTAAGCTTTCACCAACATACCAGACTGTACAGTCTTATTTTTTATTCCTTTGTCATTTAATGTGGCAAAGGAAATCAGTGTGCCTTTAACTCAAAACCAAATTTCATAGGTTTCTTGGCTCCCTCTCGCGTCTCACATGTCTCGTTTCTCTTTCAGGCTCTGAGGGGTAATGCCTGAGTAGGTTGTAATACATTTTCAGATTTCTTAGACTTTACATTTGCATAATTGTATTTACAGAAACCCAGCGAGTGCTCATTTTGGCATTCTGAACAAAGGGAAAAGTCATGATTTGCTCTTGCATCTTTTCTTAAAGCTGTTTTAAGTCAAAAGTTTCTCTCATTGTTGACCTCAATAAATGAAAATTTTCAAACTTCATAGATATGATGGGATCCTGTCCTTTTTTTTTAATATAGGGATGACATAGATCTCAACTTTTGCCATCAGAACGCCTCTGCTTCAAAGTTATGTTGGTAATAAGAGGCTCTGTGACAAGGACAAAGTTTACAGCCACTCTGTCCCAAGCCTGGACGTGCCTGGGCGGCTGTTGAACCCTAAACCCCCAAGCCCATCTCTTGGGCAGTAGTATTCCTCATTTGTACGGTGTGGGTGTTAAACCAGATGTTAAAGATTTTTTTTCCCCTTCCAATTCTAAAGCTCTGTTCCATACCTGGAGAACACATGTTGAATGCTTTTGAGAGTGGCTTCTCATCAGAAGTAGAATCTGGTTTTATTAATTATTAAACATCTTTTTTGAAAGAAGTAACATTGAAATGTGGAGGTGGCTGTTTTTGGAGTTTATAGTAAGGAGCATGCCTAATGTGGTTAGACACAAAGCAGTATACAGGATGGTTTTGGGGGGCCTGGGGTACATTTTAGTCCATGTGTGTTGCCCTTAAAATTGATATTGAAAAGAGTATTAAGTATGTGTTAGAAAACTGAGAAAGATAGACACTATATGTTAATGGAGTTACCTCCGTAGAGTGGGAGGTTATGGGCGACTTACATTTGTCTTATATTTTTGGGTGATTTTCAAATATCCAGTGGATATTCTTAGTCATAAAAATGGAAACTGTAAGTCACGGGGGGAAGAATGTCACAGGATTACTGAACCTCTTAAGACAAATTCCTGAATGTTTTCCCTCAAAGGAAAAGTGACTTCAGGGCAGTCACAGCAGGTTTGGATGTTTGAAGGAACTGAAGACCTTGAGCAGGACTTGCTAAAAAGGGCTTTAAGTTAGATCACTGAGGGGCACTGTCTTAAGACAAAATCAGAGAAGCGGTGGTTCTCTCTTCTTGAGTACTGTGAGGCTCTATGATAGCATAGGGTGTTTGGGAACAAAAGTTTTACCTTTGAGAATGAATTTTACCTTTGGGAATGAACAGTAAAGGTCCTTTGCTTATCACTAAGGTGGTTAGTACCTTTTGCAAGCACTACCGTGAATTGTTAAACAGTCTGGTGTGAATCACTCCCCTCCAGTTCACATCCTCCTATTAGTTCCTTTGCCCTCTAGCTTTCTTCTAAAGCCAAACAAACCACCTCCAGATTATTTAGCCATTGTCTCATTTCAAATCACTCTCTCATCATGAAAACTGAATTGCTGTAAATAATGATTGATTTAGGTACAATGTCACAGTAATAAAAAATTAATACCAGACACACACACACACAGAGTCTTCAGACTATATCCTCCTCCTAAAGTGACCAGTATTTTAACTGGAGCCATTTATAGCTGGTGCTATAAATAAACCTTACAGCAACATCTTACAGTTTCCTAGTCTAACTTTAATGTCACGTGTCTTCAACAGAATGTGTTTGGCCAGCTCCAAATGTGTGGTGTGCAGTTTGAGAAGATGACCTTGGAAATAAAAAATAAAATTTTAAATTCAGCTCTTCCCATTCTCCCAACTCTCTAGACTGCACCACTTACTTGACCCCAGTGGGAAAGCACGTGATTGCCGATGCCCAGAACATCACCATCAGTCAGTATGCGTGCCACGACCAAGTAGCAGTAACCATTCTTTGGTCCCCAGGAGCCCTTGGTAAGTGCTTACAAATGGAGTCTGCATGGTCGTCTGGGTGGGTGTTGTCTGGTGCAAGGTGCAAGCAGGTGGCTGGCTTCCAGGTCCCTGGCAGGTCTTGATGTGTGCACCTTAGGTTGATTTGGGCACAGACATACCTCCTGCCTTGCTGCTCAACTTGGCACTGCTGGGTTCTCTGTCCTGGGGCTCATCTCCTGTTCCCTTGGCTGTTACTGAGAGAGATTTGGGTTTGGAAGATAACAACATGTGAGTGATAAACAGCACTGGAATTTAGCCTCTGTGTCTCAGCAATAGTGGAGGGGTGGGTGGCCCATCTGGGCTGGTGATAGGTTCCACACAGGATCAAAGGTCTCTGACCACACCAGTGTGGGAGCACAGCATTGGCACATTTTGTGAGATTTTAAGAAAAGCCAGCTGTGCATGGGAAACCGTGACAGTAACAATTTTTAAATGTTGGTACTTAATTGAATTTTTACTTAAACGTTGTGGGCTAAAAAAACCAAAACAGAGGAAATCAAACCTACATTACCTGACTAGTTTCAGGTGAGGGTTCAGTCAGCCTGTCTGATTTAATGATACACGTGAGCGGCTAGGGACATGAGGGGGCCCATTTACTTAGATGAGCCTGGATTTGAACCCAGAGTCTACCTTTCACAAGAGGCATTTAAAGCTCACTGAGCCCTAGCTCCCCTACCTGTAAAGGGAAGGTACTCTTGGTTTGTAGTAAGAATCATACACGCACATGTGTGGTCATTTCTAGCTGGCACCTTTAAAGAAGTACCTGTTACTACCACAGAACTTGCTCCTTTGACACCTAGGCTTAGAAGTTTTTAAAAAGCTTGGAAGAACCAGTGTACAGGTGAGGTGAGTGTAGAGAGGAGAGGACCGACCAGACCCCTGGGCCTGGCTCACAGTGTAAGTACTGCTGGGTCTGAACCCAGTGGGTTTTCCAAGAATAATATTATCTTAACATTCAGAGATAAATAAATACTCTTAGATGAAAGGGAAATAGTTATTCCATTTAGGGCTAAATGTTTAAGGGTTTGGCTTGATGAATTGCTGGCTCCCCCTTTAGAATGAAAGTAGGCAATATGACCTGATAGTAGGAAAATGAACATGGAATAGTGTAGGTACAAATTTGTTTTTCCTGGGTAGGGGTGACTGTACAGGTCTGTCCGTTTTCTGTGAAGTCCTAGCTCATCCTATCAAGGCAGCTCCGTGGGAGACAGAAGTTCTCGTGGGGTAGGAGCACAAGCTTAGAGATTGTTGCTCCGGGTTGAGCCCTGCCTCTGTCACTTAGTTCCTGTGTGATCTGGGTCATTAGGTGTCCCTGCACCTAAGGTTCCTCATCTGTAAAGTGGGCTGAATAATACCTTCCTGCCGTGGTTGTTAGGGAAAATTAACGATGGGAAGGTGTAACTATTGAGCATTAATGCTACAGTTATAAAGGTTCGGTATGATGATATTAACATCTGCTGCTTCAGCCACCTCCTCCAGGCTTGGCTGTGGTGGTTTTGAGGCAGTCTTTAACAAAAAAAAAAAAAGAGGACTAGAGCCAGCCAGTCCCATGGTTCCTACTGATGAATTTTTATGTAATTATGCAATGGCTAGTCCTTTATCACATTTATTGCCTATCTCTTGTTAAAACGCAAATATGAAACATTGCGTGAATTAAATCTCAGAATGTAAAGATTATTTGTTCTTTTTGTTTGTGAATCTCAAAGGCAAGTTCCTTGCTATTTACTAAATTGTTTGCAGTCAAAAGGCCTTGGGTCCTGTCCACATGTTGGAATCTGTGGGTCGGCTGGCTTTTCCTCCTGGGGAGGCTTGGTACTTGAAACACAACATGGCAGAGTCAGTACCTGTACACTCATTCTTCTAACCCTCTAAAACATGCAGCTCTAATTGTAGTTACTTTGCTCTACCCACCAGAAAAAAAAAAAAAAAGTGTGCTCTTCAAATAATGGTAGGGTTGGAGGGCCTATTCGAAAGAGAAAGAGATTTCCCTGGCCTTTGCCATCAATAATTTTCCCACCTGGTTAATTGCATCCTGTGTAATTACTTCTGCCCCGGGAGGGGAAGGTTTGAAAATGTCTCCTTGTCTAGTGTTCAGAAAGAATGCGAAATCGATACCGCGCCAATTGAGGCCGGCTTTGGGGACCTCCAGCTGCAGCTGGACCACTTCAGTCTCCCTGGGATACGGAGCCTCAGCACTGGCGCAGTGGCCATCAGAGCTTAATCCTTTTGAAAGCATCTAGTCGGACGTGCAGTGGGGGGAGCTCAGGTGGCGGGAGGCTGGGCCTCGGCCTTTCAGCGGCACGGTGGGCGGCTCAGGGCTCTGAGCGCGGTCTGAAGAGCGCACACCGGGCCGCTCTTGGGCATCCGCCTTTCAGGCGTGATTAGGGCGAGCACCGCTTTGTCAATGGTGGAGGCGTTCTCCTCAGCCTTTCAGTCTCACGGCTGGGCACCCCTTGGGTGCAGACGTACACTTTGTCGGGAATTTTATACATTGTTCAGTGAAACATGGCAACAAATACAGGCCTAAAACTTAAAGTGGAAACATGATTTGGGAGGAGTCCCCAGTCAGCATTGCGAATTAATCAATTCGAGTATACCTTGTTCCGCGACCGAGAGATTAGATATATCCCACCGCAGGCTTTTATGCTCCGTTGTGACTTGAGTGCAAATGTTTGAACCCTAATGTCACAGCGCCAGTGGGCATTTGTGAACTGGTTAGCTGGATTAGAGATTAATGAATAAGTAATAAAGGTTCAAAAAACCACCTGGCCTCTACCAGAGGAATGCAGGGTTTTCCTTTTTGTAAACTCATATTCTAGCCAGCGTAAGAATGCTTTTAACTCTGTTGTGTAGGTGAAGAGGACCATAATCTCGGAGGAAGGAAAGTGTGTTCAAAAGTAATTAGGTCCACTTTTAATAAAAGCATTATGCTTTGCTTAGGCATCGAATTCCTAAAGGGATTTCGGGTAATACTGGAGGAACTGAAGTCGGAGGGAAGACAGTGCCAACAACTGATTCTAAAGGACCCAAAGCAGCTCAACAGTAGCTTCAAAAGGACTGTAAGTCACACGCGGGGAATGCGCTCCTGAAGACGCGCCATTGTTCCGCGGTCTGAATAGTCTATTCAAAGTCTGTGAAACTGGAGAAGGGGGGCTGCGGGGTCCACCCTGCCTGCCAAGGTGGGCGAGAGCACCGCACCAGCAGCAACACCACCGCCTGCTCCTTGCTCCCAAGCGCTCTGGCACCTCTTGCCAGTAGACGCACCTCTCAGGTTACGCATCCTGGAGGGCGCCTTTGTGCTTGCTTGCAGGCGTGTTGAGTGGCTCTGGCCCACCAGCCTCGAGGCTCCAGGTCGGCAAGCCGTGGCTGCTTTGCCACAGAACAGACGACAGTACTGAGCCTCTTTTTAGTTGGGGACCCAAACCCGGTCCGCCACATAGGCCTGACTTCCACCTTCCCCGGGACATGTGGCCCAGGTCTGGAATGGTGTCGGCAGGGCTGCGGCTCTCCCGTGCTAGGTGTCCACACCGCGTAACGTCCACACCGCGTAACATGCAGGTTTTTGTTTCCTTGTAGGGAATGGAATCTCAGCCTTTCCTGAATATGAAATTTGAAACGGATTACTTTGTTAAGATTGTCCCTTTTCCTTCCATTAAAAACGAAAGTAATTACCACCCCTTTTTCTTCAGAACCCGCAGTAAGTATGGCCTTTCCTGTCTGGTTGCCATGAAGAGACAGATGTCTCCTGTTTTCAGTTACTTTTAGACAGAGATGTGTTGAAGACACACTGTTAGTAAGCAAGCATGATGAGGAGAAAAGCATCTAGAAAATGTATGCCAAGATGTAATTTCTAGAATTAAGATTTGGCCCAGGCAGTATCCATCTTTCCAAACACCATTCCTGCCTTGTTCTAGAGTAGACATGGCCATTAATTTTTTTTTTAAGGTGCTGTAAGGCAGCTATGTATTAAAACGAAGAAGGAAAATAAAAAGCCAGGAATGAGGGCCTTCCTGGTGGCACAAGGGGTTAAGTCTCATCACTGTGAAACTGCCCAAAGCCACTGCAGCACAAGTTCGATCCCCAGGCAGGGAAGTGACCCATGTGGCATGGCAGACCTCTCCTGTGTCACCCCTTGTTCCCTGCAGCAGTGTATTTCAGTAGAACCTTTACTATTCTGCTCCCCACTCTGTCTCTGGTGAATTCTCTAATCCTCCTGCACCTCTGGCCTGTACCTCAGCTCTTGTATGCATAAATAAATAAATCTTAAAAAAAAAAAGAAGAAGAAGCCAGGAATGAAAGATGTTGACTGGGGTAAGGGATAGAGCGTGAAGGTATTTCCATGTTTTGTACATCATCAGGAGAGTGACCTCTGAGTGACTGATTGCCTGATGTTTGTTTAGAAGTAGATTAAGAAGATTAAACTTGTCCCTGAGATCAGCTCGTCCTAGATAGTTGCTTAGCTTATTTACTACCTATGTTTCAGACCTTGTTCTTGCGCTTCCCAAATAGTAACTCAGTTTACATTGTACCCCCTACAAAGACTTTATTCTCACCATCCCTACTAATTAGTTAGAAGTGGAGTCTCACACATAGAGGTTCCAGGGCTTGCCAGGAGCTGGGATTTGAACCCTAGAAATCCACATTCTCAAATCCCCAACCCGTGGGTTCCCTTTTCCATGTTTTGCACAAGTGTACAGTGTCTCACACCAACCTGAGTCACTGCTTTCAGGTTCAGCCAGGCACCCTAAAATATGCAGCAGGTCCATTTTGCCTCCTGTTTGGTCTGTCTGACTGGCATTCTGGCCCTCGGACGGTTAGTCATCAGCCCTGTCTACATCCCCTCCTGTGTGGTCTGGTTGCCTTCCTCAACCCCCATTCTGTATTTGCTCTCAACACCAGCCTACACCAGTGCTGCAGAACGCTTTGACTTGTTTTTCTTTTACTCTTTCTATGCGTTTGAACTGTAGTTGTTTTCTATGCAGCAGTTCCTTTGTAACAGTCGGTCTCATTATCGTAATCAAAATATGATTCCATCAGGCAGAGATTGTGTGCACTTATCTTACAGCATCTCTTGGTACCTTACCCATAACAACCAGGTAGAGGATTTGAAAAATGTTTATTAAAAGTGTGTCGAGAGCCTTCCCTGGTGGCGCAATGGGTAAACGCAGCTCTGGCCCTGGGGGTGACCCACATGGCACGGCAGACCTCTCCTGGCTGGCCTGCCTGCCGCTCCCCTCAGCAGTGTACTTCATCCATCTGCCTGTTCCGCTGCCCACTCTGTGTCTGGTGAATCCTCTCACCATCCCTACACCTCTGATCTGTACCCCTAAATAAATATTAAAAAAAAAAAGTGGGTCTAAATCCAGTCTAGCATAATTTGAGATTAGTTTTTCCCACGAGGATTGATGTATGTATCTGAGGATAAGGCAGAGGCAGGAGATTTGTTTATCATCAGCTGTGTACTGTGACCTTGATTCTGCCTTTGATTTCCTTGAACATACGGACGGACATTTTCTGGAGGGCTCTTTCTTCCTGGGTAGCAAAGTAGCAACTGGATGAACACTGGCCTCTCTTATGTTTTTATCACATCGAAATCCTGTTTGAATGCTACTGGCTCTGGCGCTGGGTTTTCAGCACCGATGCTACTATTTAGTAGATGCACGGATGTCATTTTTAGACTCCATCCAGAGGACTACAAATTAGGGTGCTGGTGAAGGTGAAAGTAGTTCTGAGACAGCTGCCAGGATCATGTTGATACTCTCGGGGACCCACACTAGCCCCCAGGGCAGGACGGGCACTCTTGCTGTTGACAGCTGGAACAGTCCCGTGCAGCAGTAGCACCTGACCACGTCCTGCTGCCCTTGGCCACCAGCCGTGAAACCGTAGCACTTGACAAACTTTTAAAATCTGGGTGAATTTACAGTTTCCATTTATTGGGCATAAAGTGAACTGCACTCATGTTTTTATGTCCTATGATTTAATTTTCATAGAACTACACGGTACTGAAGTCAGTTGTTGACTTGATGTATTTTATAGTTTCCCTAACGGCTCCCAGAGCAGTATATTTATATTTTATTGACTCAATAGACAAAGGAAAGTGTCCTAAACTAAAAATCTGCCTCTCTCTTAATAGCTTGTGACCTGCTGTTACAGCCAGACAACCTGGCCTGTAAACCCTGTGAGTATGACTATTTTTACTTATTGTGTGTCAAAGTGTTGCTGCTGTTGCAGTGTCAGGGCAGCTCTGGTTGCTCACATGGTCTTTCCTCCTCCTAGTCTGGAAACCTCGCAACCTGAACATCACCCAGCATGGTCCAGATATGCAGGTGTCCTTCGACCACGCACCACACAACTTTGGCTTCCGTTTCTTCTATCTTCATTACAGACTCAAGCATGAAGGACCCTTCAAACGGAAGTCCTGTAAACAGGTGAGCTATCAGGTGTAGATAAGGGAACACTATGTGTTTTATATACTTTTTAAAGATTTATTTATTTATACATACAATCACTGGGGTGTAGGCCAGAAGTGTGGGAGGGTAAGAGGATTCCACAGAGATAGAGTGGGGAGCAGAACAGGCAGATCTACTGAAACACAGTGCTGAGGGGAGCAGCAAGCAAGGCAGGACAGGTTGGCTGTGTCATGTGGATTACCTCCCTGGTCGGGGCTAGCTGCAGTGGCCGTGGATAGTTCTTCATAGTGCTGAGACTTAACCCCTTGTGCCTCCAGAGAGGCCCAGCACTTGTGTTTTTTAAATTTTTTTTTAATATATAATAGTTTATTTTTACATCATTTTGTGTATTTATTCACCTCAGTTGTAATCCCCGTGGGCTTCCCATCACCAAATCACCCATGTGGCAGCACCATAGTCCAGTGCACTTCCTTCCCCCCACCGTTTTTGATCCCATTCCCCACTCCACCCCCATAAAATGTTGCTGGTAGATGGCTGTTTATCATTATTATTATTATTTTCTTGCATGGTCAGTTATACTCCTGCTATAAGTGAAACCATCCAGTATTTTTCCTTTTCTTTCTGGCTTTTTTCACTAAGCATGATCTTCTCCAACTACATCCATGTTGCTGCAAAAGACACGTGTTTATTTTTTTTTGGTTGCTGAGTAATATTCCATTGTGTATATATACTACATCTTTTTAATCCAGTCATTCACTTTTGGGCATTTGGGCTGTTTCATGTCTTTCCAATTGTAAATAAGTCAGCACTAAACATGAAGGTACAGGTATCTTTTGGAATCAGTGTTTTTGTGTCTTTTGGGTAGATACCTAGGAGTATCTGGATCATATGGAAGCTCCATGTTTAGCAGTTTGAGAAACCTCCAAACAGTTTTCCATAGTGTACTAGTTTGCATTCCCACCAGCAGTGCAGGAGAGTTCCTTTTTCTCCACATCCTCGCCAACATTTGTTGTTGCTAGTTGTTTGAAGATGTGCCATTCTCACTGGGGTGAGGTAGTATCTCATTGTGGTTTTAATTTGCATCTCCCTTATTATGAGTGATGTTGAACATTTTTTCATATGCTGTTGGTCATCTGCATTTCGTCTTTGGAGAAGTGTCTTTTTAGTTTTTCTGTATTTTTGTTGCGTTTCATCTGTTCTTTGTATACCTTTATGATCAATCCTTTATCATCGCTAGTTTTCTGGAGAGAAAATTGTTTCCCAATCAGTGGGATATCTGTTTGTCTTTTGTAATGTCTTTTGCTGTACAGAAGCTTTTTAACTTGAAGTTTGTAGTACCACCTGTTTTTCCTTTCCAACATTATTGCTGCGTTGGGTGCTGTATCTTCAAAGATCTTACTGAATCCTTATCCCTTTTTAAAGTAAAGGGAATTCTAACGAATTTCTTTGTCTCCACATCAGATATGCCCACTGAAGACCCACCAACTAGGCATAGGTATAATTAGGCTGTCCTCTGCCTTTTATCAAAGCGAGGTTTAGCTAACACAGCTGATAGGCACAGTCACTTGCTGATAGTACTGAGCAATATCTTCTGAAACTTGCCCAAGACTGGGGGCAGTGTCCTTCAACCCTGGGATGGGAAAAAAGGGTTCTCGTGATGATTATCCAAGAAGTGGATTGTTAAATGTTTTGCTTGTTTCATTGCAGGAACAAAATACAGAGACAACTAGCTGCCTCCTTCAAAATGTTTCTCCAGGAGATTACATAATTGAGGTGTGTATGACTCAAAGGAAGGCCTGTGATTAACACTACATTGTGATACCAGTTCATGTAGAATTCTAGCTGTTTAGGAGTCTTAGCAGTAATATTTCAACCATTGAAAGAGTGTACAGTTAGAATTTTACGTGGCTCTTTACATGCTTTTTAAAAGTTTACATATAATTAAGCTTTGATTTTTTTTCATTAGATATTTCAAGTAGTTTTATGTAATTATATAATCGACATAACTCTGAGAAGGAAATTCTGTATAGTACCCCATCAGTGATGTTTGTTAAATATAGGTTATAAATTTAGCATTAAACATTTTTGTTTTATTAATAAAATATGAAAGTAAAAGTTGTGCCTATCACATCTGCATATGTTCCTCTAGGTTTCTGCTGATATTCTGCATAAATGCATCCGGTTTTAAATACCTCTTAAAAGAACATTTTTCTTCTCTTCCTCTTCTTGTATCAAATTAATACTACAAATAAATAGACTTAAGAGAAAAATAGAAAGGGAAGTAAAAAGTTTGTCCTCTACTACTCAAAGAGAACCAACATGTCTTCATATTTTGGTAGAAACACCTAGTTCTTGCATTACTTGGTTGCAGTATATGGCTTTGAACCGGTGTGCCTTCTTAAAGCATTCATGGAGGCCCTGGAACATCAGGGATAAGATGCCATTATTGAAAATTGTTAGAATGTGAAACTTACTAGCTGAACTAATCAATAAATAAAATCACTTTGATTCATGAAATGTGAGGGAGCTAAGTGGTGAGGTGGTAGAAGCAAGAGGCAGCCAACATGAATGCAGGTCCGGGGCCACAGGTACCTGCTCTCTGTCTTCTTCTGCTGCCTGCCTGGGCTGGGAAGGCGAGTGAGATCTGTTGAGATGCTATCACTTAAAAAGAATCCTCTGTTTTGCAGCTAGTGGATGATTCTAATACAACAAGAAAAGTGGTGCATTACGCCTTAAAGCCAGGTGAGAATTTCTGTTGTTGTTTGAAATGCTGGCTATGGACTACACCAGACCAAGATATTTGATACTTCATGGTTTGCAAAAATAAAGCAGGGCAGAACTTGAGCTCCTCTCCCTTAAATGATGTTCCATCAGTCCTGAATTTCCTCCCCCATCCGCCACAATGTAGATGCCTGGAAGATCAAAGTCAGTGTGTGGTGTGTGTGTGGAAAGGACTGAATAAATAGTCAATTGTCCTCCTAAGAAAAGTGGTGGGTGGGGAGGTTTCCTTAGGCAAAAATCTCACTCAAAGGTATTTACTGTCCCGGCAGACTCTAACTGTGGAATTGTTCACTGCACTCCTTTAAAATGAAGCCTTTTATAATTGCCAAGCCAGGACTAGGGAAGGTGGTCAGGGGGTCCTAGAACCAGTTCTGTGGGTTAGGTTGAAGATGAAAAATAAAATGATGTCTCTTTGAACCTGTTCCGCTGCTCAAGTTTGAAAGCCTTCCCTTTGAAATTTCCCAGTGCATTCCCCGTGGGCTGGGCCCATCAGAGCTGTCGCCATCACGGTGCCCCTGGTCGTCATCTCTGCATTTGCAACGCTCTTCACTGTGATGTGCCGCAAGAAGCAGCAAGGTGCCTCTTTGTGTGCTGTCCTCATGCACCCCCCCCCTCGCCCATCAGGGCCCATCAGGGCCCATGGCTGAGCCAGAGTGAAGAAACTTGAATTTAACTGCCAGAGCCATAAAAAGGACAGGCATCCTTCTACTCTCAGACTTGGGATAGTAAATTCAAGAGCAGAAAGGAAATGTAGAGGGGCAGGGTCAAGGTAGGACTTGATAACTTACAAAAGTCCTATGTGAGGAGGGGACTTTCTGGGGACAGGGAAATGTCCCGTATCTTCATATGGATGGTGGGTACACGGGTGTATACTTAGTTTAAAATTTATTGCGAATATATTCTTAGTAGCACTTCACCTTTTTAAGTTACAGCTCAAAAAGGGCAGCTCTGCCTGTGTTAATTGGTCTCGTGGTTGCATTTGGTTGCAAGAGCTGGCTCTGGTTGCTTTCTGCTGGCCATGGTCTTCTTGGCTTGCTCCAGGTCAAATTTAAGGACAAAATTTGTTGCTCCACTGGAGAAATTCTGTCACTGGTTGAATTGGAGAACTGGGAGTATCTAGGAGGACGTCTGTCCTCCCCAGTCTTAGAGAGCAGAGCAAAGCATTACTCATAGGTATTAACCCTGTCTTTTCCAATTTAGAAAATATATATTCACATTTAGATGAAGAGAGCTCCGAGTCTTCCATGCACACCACAGCACTCCCCAGAGAGCGGCTGCGGCCGAGGCCCAAGGTCTTCCTCTGCTACTCGAGTAAGGATGGCCCGAACCACGTGAACGTCATCCAATGTTTCGCCTACTTCCTTCAGGACTTCTGTGGCTGTGAGGTGAGGGGTCTAATGGCTTGTCTCATATCCTGAGATGCTCATATCCTGCTCATTCTTGGCTGCCTCTGGGGGCACCTTGACCAGCTTTGTCAGCCTTATGCTCTTCATTCAGTCTGTCCTGCCCATCATGAACATCAGATGTTTCCTAACACTCGGTTCTTACCCTGACATACTCCCTGCTGCTCAAAAGCCTGAGTGAAAACCACACAGCAGGCAGTTCTATAAGTATTAAAAAGACTCGCAGGTGGGCCCTCCCTGGTGGCACAGTGGGTTAAAGCACAGCACTAAGAAGCTTAAGCCACTTCCGCATGAGATCGATTCCCGCCGGCCCTGGAGGTGACCCACATGGCGAGGCAGACCTCTCCTGGCCTGCCCACTGTTCCCCTCAGCAGTGTCCTTCATTGATCTGCCTGTTCTGCTGCCCACTCTCTCTCTGGTGAATCCTCTCACCCTCCACATCTCTGGCCTGTACCCCAGCTCTATATGAATAAATAAATAAATCTTTAAAAAAAAAAAAAGGCTCTCAGGTGAATGGAGGGAGGAGGGTGGCAGCTACCTTGGCAATTTGCAGCGGATGGAATGGGGATGTGCAGGTGGCCACTGAGGCATCCTGGCGAGCCTTGGGGGCCAAGGAGAGAAAGCAGTGGGTTTAAACAGTGTTGAGGGGAACTTGGCATAATACCATAATGTTAGTTGGAGAGTGAAGCCTGAAGCCCTCACAGATAGCACATTGTTTCTTAACAAAACACAAGCATTCAGTAACTGTGTAGTTCGAAGTTGTTTGTGCTTGGAAACTGCCCGTTAGTAGGGTTCTTAAAATCTCTCTCGACAGGGCGAGACTGCCCTCTAGTGTAGAAAAGACATATTTACAAGGGTGAGGTGGTTTCCTAAGACCTGAAGGTGGAGATTCTGGCACTGACTGCCTCAGACAAACACGATCTAGTTTGCTCTACTTTCTAAATAACTAGCTTTGGAGGAATAAATCTTCCAAATAATGAGTATTGAAGGAAATTTGGAAGCTAGGAAAGGATGGTAAGTATAAAAGGTCTATTATATCAACTGGAGAAGAGGGAACCACGGTTACTATTTGGTGTATTTCCTTCCTGTCTTTCTGCAGAGATGAGCTGATACTATGGTTTTGCATTTTGTGAGAATTGCTTTTTCTCTGTCTCCTCCTTTAATAACTCGTTACTCTGTCAGCTGTGTAAATTGCAGTTTTATTTTATTTACTTATTATATGTATACTTTTTAATATTCTTGTTCATTTTTGTACCATGTTTGATTTCTCAGCTGTAATCCCCATAAAACTCCCATCAACAATTCACCGATGCACCATCACCATAGTCTCTTTTGCTTCCCCCCCACCCAGTTTGGAACCCACTCCCTCCCCTGCTCTGGTGTGTGTCTCCACTTTGTAGCTTGCTTGCTATAAACTGCGATTTTTAATAACCACATGATCCATGATATTGATGCATTATAATTGAGGGTATTTCACATTCTTAAACATGTCAGTAATTCAGTATCTGATGACTTTCCAAAAATAGATGCCTGAAAATGGAATTGCTAGTTCAAAGGTAGACACATTTTTTTTTGAATACTTGCTACGTATTCTTACTTAGTTTTTATTTTATTTTTTTAATAATACAATAGTTTATTTTTACATCATTTTGTACATTTTTTTAATCTCAATTGTAATCCCCATGTGCTTCCCATCACCAAGTCACCCATGTGCCATCACCATAGTCCAGTGCACTTCCCTCCCCCCACTGTTAACTTTTATTTTATTTTTAAAGATTTACTTATTTATACATACAGGAACTAGGGTACAGGCCAGAGGTGTGGGGTTGAGAGGATTCACCAGATATAGAGTGGGGAGCAGAACAACTAAAATACACTGCTGAGGGGAGCAGTGGGCAGGACAGGAGAGGTGTGCCATAACATGTGGATCAGCCCCCAGCCAAGGATCGAGCTGGTACTGAAGTAGCTGCAGACAGCTTCTTTCTTTCTTTCTTCTTCTTTTTTTTTTTATAACAGTTTATTTTACATTTTTACATTTTCCATCTCAATTGTAGTCCCCGCAGATTTCCTATCACCAAGTCACCCATGTGCCATCACCATAATCCCTCCCCACCCC